CCGGTGCCCTTTTGGGGTTGCCCGCCACTGGCGGCCATTGGCTGCTGGGGAACCCCCCTTGGTTAGCAGTTGGCCACTGGTGCCCCCCCAGTATCGGGAGGCACCAGTAGCCCATGGCTGGTGAGCTCATTTTACAGCTGGATAGGCCTTTTTATTATACGATAATTACTCTGCAGGTGTGGCTCGTCTATATGTGGCACACAATTCACCAGTTAATTCCATGAGCATTACTTTGCAGGTATGACTGCTTCAAATTTATTGCGCACAATTCACCAATAAAATGTGCAATATATGTAAGGTGTAGTAGGGATCCAAAGTGTAGGCAAGATGAGGGTGGTGTTTGGCAAGCTTCCAAGACAGAAGCTGGTGTGTCAGCAAGTCCTTGGCTACACACTGATTTTTTTTTCTCTTTATCTTGTTCAAGGCCAAATCGTTTCCAAATGTAATTGGGCAAAACCCAAGTCAGGTTCTGAAATCTGACTGAGCAGAGCTCAGTCATCAAGCCTGCGTGGCTTTACCTTGGGGCAAGCATCTTCCCTCCCAGACCCATCTGTCTGGGGCTTTGTCCATTCCCCAAATCCAGGCAGGCATCCTACGTGCAAGCTGCAGGCCCGGAGGCCTTGAGGTTCAGATGCCCCCAGTCTTGCTTGACCTTAGCCAAAAGGCCAGGCCACACGCAGAGGTCCAGGAGAGCAGTCAACCTGCACTTGGCTTTGGCACCCTTGAACACCGTGGTGTTTAACCTGCCTCCATCCCAGACCCTCCAGAGCCCCCCGCAGAGGAAGCTCCTGGCAGCCTCCCTGCACTCAACTGAGCTCCCAAAGGTGCTGCTCAGCCCCGCTCTGGCTCTTCCTTGTCACACCCAGCATTGCCAGGTCTTAAATCTATAATTACCGTATGGGAAGCTCAAAATTATCGCATTGGCTGAAAAAATGATCTTTCACTGAAAAAAAGATGTAAATACATATGCAAATAAGCATTCTTCTTATTGACTTTATATTGCTCACTGTAACGCTGCAAGTGAGTGAGAACCAGGCTGTCAAATTGAAGCACATCTTTATTGCTGAGGCAAGTTGTCATGAGAAAGTGCCGGCAGCATGCCCAAAAGTCAGTTAAGATTCCCTGAGCATAACTTGGAATCTTTGCAGAGCCTGCTTCAATGAGCTCCCTCAAACATGATGCACATTTTGAATGCTTTCACTACTACTGATGGTACCTCGTGCTACAGCTTAAATGATGGTACAAATACAATAACGATCGTCCACCAACCAACGCTGCCCGCCCCCTTAACGGCCAGTCTGTACACACGCCACTTGCTAGGCCCACCCTTGCACCCCTCCCGCGCATGCGCAGCGCTATGCCCGCTCTGACGCAATAACGGCTTCGCGCTCACCCTCGGCACGCGGCGCCGGCCGAGTCACGTGGTCTGGTGACCCCCCCCCCCCCCCCTCGTCGGGGGGGCGC